CGTGCATGAGTTTGGTTGACTGCAGTAACTTATGCCGCAGCTGTATAAGATAGTGCTTGGTGTTTATTCCGAAAAGTGGGGTACACAGTGTTACTTTAAAAACACAAAGAACTGCTAGACTTGCGTGTGAGTATGAGTTGACTGCAAAGTTACCGCGATGAACTACATTTTCATGAAGTTTTTCATCCCCTTCTTCTCCTCGTTGGTGCAATAAAAAATATGTGATAGCATGAACCAGCTTCCAGTGCTTGCGATGTATTAAATGTGGTAGCAACTCACCCGGAAATGTTTGACATGTTTTTGAAGTCTGCCACGAGGTCATCCAACTGAGGATAACCCACTGATGCGCATTCATTGATATTCATCAGTCACGTGCAATAATTAGTCCACGATTTTGTTCCAGGCCAAGGTTGAACACTCTTTTTATAAACTAATCGCATCATTCCAACGGTGCTCACTTTGCTTTAAACGCAGTTGCTCCTCTATTCCCGAGAAGAGTGGAAGAAGTTTGTGTATAGTATAGTCATTCTTGGCTCACGAATAACTGAAGTCCAATTCGTCCGCGACAAGTTATCCAAATCGGATTTTTTCAACTGGTTTCTCCCCGTAAATCTAAACTTTATCTAGTCTCTCAAATGTTGGTAAGATGCAAAATAATTGGCTCTTCCCTAAGAAACTCAGGCATACTTATTCGCTCGGATGTTCGCGAATGGCTTATTACCAACCGGGATGCCACGTTCCATGTTTGTGATGGCTGGATTTTGTGTTCATTCAAATCAAGCTAACCGGATTATTAAACCGTACACTCTATCTAGATGCAAGAGTAATGAAAATACCAATTCGTGCATTATCTCTACATCCAGCTGAAGTCAACTATATCTTGGACGTGACTGTGCCACTTTCTCACACTGCTCGTAATATTCCGATCACAATATAAATTGTGGGGATATGCTTCCACAACGACCACCTTGCCCCTTCGATGTTCAACTGTTTGTACTTCCCTGGGTGATCTCACACAAGCCAAATACCAAACAACGGGTATAATTCGCCCTAAAAGATCCACCGCATCGTGATTTCCTTCTCCCTTCACCTAACTCTAAACGATTTTCTATATTCAACTGAGGTTTTGTCATTTAATGTGTATTTTTACAATTGGTAAACTGTGTTTATTCTGTGGCTAAGTTTCACCTGTCAACTAGGCTGCCGACGAAAGTTCGCAATTCATACACCGGCTCATCCATGGCGTTGGCACATCCATTTGGCTGTAAGTGTCCAGACTATGACAGCTCACCCTGACATCTTCTCCGTTGTTGAGAATCAAACGAAACATGAAGAATTTGTGGCATTTTAAATTATCGGTACACCTCTAGGGTTACGAGCAAGATGAGAGACGCAAAGCAAGAAATATATTCGATAGCGCGCATTACCAAAAGTCTCAACTATTCGTGTGCTGTATGCGTTTTGGCATATCTTCTCACCGTGACCTGGTTGGAATGCTCTGCTCTTTGAGCAAACGAGTGTCGGGAGAACAACAGAAGTCACTTTGAAATCTAAACAGGTTTAATTAAAATTTGTGGATCGGAGAACAACGACGAGGGGGTGAGGGTGTTAGGTGGATCATTACAACCGCCTTCGGCAGAGTTCAACATAATAACAGGCGGAAATCGCAGGTGATGCTTGACTGACCACTGACACTTCTGTTATATTTTTTTCACTGTTTATTGTCCTTAGATTTTTGGGTTTCAAGATATTTTCATCCCACCCCTGTTGGACACTAAAAGACAAAGGTATGGAAAAAAGTTCCACAGGTTCACCATATCGCTGGGGTTGTAGATGTTTATTCTTCGATGAAATTTCTCCAAACTGAATTAGCACTCCCCAAAACACTTTGCTGTAAGCTTGGCGGTTCGAAATGCTGGTAATAACTATGTTTTGATGATACTCATTATCACTATCACTATCAGGGAAAATTAATTACTATTGATGATAATATTTTATGCCAATTCACCACTATGAGTTTCAAGTGAGTGATGGAGGATTTGATTCGATTGCAAAGGTGAATTCGTCGTGTATATTGCAAATGAAGCGTGAACTGAAAAGCTAGGAAGCACTGGACAGCTGTTTCGACCTGGTTGGGTTTAATCACCACTATAAGTGTTTGTTTCATGACCGAAAGAGAGAACTGACCAACTGCTCTAACACTGGTGAGACTCATTTGTACTGCATACTGGGTTTACGTTCCTGGAGAGACTCGAAGCACACACCTTCGAGTTAGGAGCCAAACCATTACTTCTGATCCATATCGGGTCAAGTGTCTGTGGAATTTGTTATATGGTGGTATTTGTTATGTGGCCGGCGCATCATAATCCCCGATAATGGGCTAAGGTCAATTATTACTTTTGGTTAGAACCAATAGAAGACAAATACTGCGAGATGTTAACATTTCTTTTAATCTCTCCCGTCGCTACAACGCAAAACAACTTGGTATTTATACAAACAAGTTTTGGTAACTACAGTGGTAAAACGGACAATGGTCAAGGAAGCGGGGGAGAAGGTGGGGTGGGAAATCAGTTCCATGGTAGTCTGACTTATTGCGTAAGAAACTATTGTGCGCACAAGATTGGGTTACGTAACTTGATTAGCATCGCATCGCATAGCTAAACGCCACAACCCTGGGGTTCCTGTTACGCAATAACCGCTTGAACGACATTTTTTGGTCAACGATGTGTCCAGTTGCCATGAGATGTTTTGCGATTGATGACCCTAGATTTCTCTTAACAGTTTGACCTGTAAGACTTTGTTGCGTCATCGATCGTACCAACCACTTGGGAATGTGTTCAGACATCCTATGTGCCAGGGGATGAATCCGTAAGATATCAGGCGGTAATTGTGAGTATCGCAAAATACGAATCACTTAAGAATGGGAAAGACGTGAACAGTTAACCTGACAGCTGAGAAACACTCCGTGTGAAAGTGAGTAAGAGAATGGAAAACGGAGGTTGGGACAAAACTCTGTCGTGCACAATTAGTGCAATACCATCTAGACCGTGTGGATCATCTGTGAATCCATCTAGCAAAAGTAACGCTAGGCAGGTATTCCTGATTGTTATTTTGAGACAAAATGTGGAACCATAGTGGATAGCGGTTAATGGGAATAGTGGACGAAAGTACGGTAGAACTGGAAGCAAAGGGGAGAAAACTACCTGAACATTAGGAGAAAGTTGGAACTAGATCCGCGGAAGCGATACTAATTGACAAGAAGCACAAAAGGGTGAAAATTACTATCAGTGGCTATGAAAATTAGTCGGAATAAGGATATACCCGAAGAAAAGTTTATTAATTTCACGGGCTCATGAAGAAAACAAGTTGTTGGTTGCATTTCGAAATGATTGTTTTATGCTTTCCTTTAGTAGTGGTACCAAGAGAGATTTTGGGACAGGCGCCAACTTTGGAAAGCTTTCTCTTTCGCGGTGATAGCAGGCAAACAAGCATCCGTGAACCAAACGGGTGAGTGTTGTCTTTCGGGTTTAGAACAATGGAGAATACTGTTCAAAACATTAACGGTCTAGGTGGAGGGGTCAGGGGAAACAGCATAAATACGCCAAGGGAAGAATACCAGGAGGTCATGGAAGTCCTTTCAATCCGCAGAATTGTCCCGCTAAACGGTGCGATGAGAAGAAACAGTTGATACCAGATATAGTGAGAAATTTAGGGATAATAGGGCAGTGGTCCAATTATCCCAGGGGGAAGAAGGAGATAAATCCGAGAAACGATTCGAACTAGAAATGCATAACAAATCAACGCTTTTGGCACGTTCCTCTGTACGATCTGAGACACGGGCGTCGGAGGCGACCAATCGGGATAGACGGCTCACACGCTTATTGCCTCATAACCCATGGTTATGATTTTCGCGTTGTATTTGCTAACCATTCTCTGCTGCGATTCCTGGATTCCCTTGCGATATATCTAATAGTTGGAGTTTCAGTGTAAAATATTTTCAGTGCGCGGAGAAAGTATCAAACACAGAACACCATAGCTGTTGGAGAACAGGTTTGATCGTGGGATACGAAAGTTTTACCCGTCAAAAGTGGAAACATCGGGATCGTATAGGGCATTGACCGGTGCTGAACAGTGAACAAACGCAGATATGTGTGACAAATAAATGGTACACAGAAAACTAAAGTACCGACGTGCTCTAAACCATATTCTTATGTAAGCTGTAGTTTGAGACCATCCAACCTATCGTTGTCCCAGCTATAGTACATGAATTGAGAAAACAACAGCCGATATGAACGGTTTCTTGCAACTTTGTAGCTGCCCGTTTTGATAGATTGGTCAAAGTGGAATAGTAGTGAAATCGAGTTGGTCCTTTTAAACATCACTCGTTTGTGTTTTTTTCTATGCACATTTATTTTCTTATCCGATACTCTAAATAGCGAACTAAAACTATCCTTTTGGCTCAGACCAACTTCCGTTTGTGAACGAGAATATCTTGTTTTTGTCTTCGACGAGGGATTATAACTGTATAAACTGTACTGAAATAGTAACGAATGCAAGGTGAGGCATGGTAACTCAATGGTCCTTTAGACAAAGTCCATTCGTGCTTTATAAGATCCATTTTCTGTTTTATTTTTAGTTGTTCTCTTTCGTTAACTGTGCTTTCGATTTGTTTCTGAACTAACACCCTCATCCAAAAATCCGTATCGAAATTAAACTGAGAGGTTGCATTAGAAGATAATAAATTAGAACCGGAGTAAAGCTTACCTTTTTGGTCTTTTAAACTAGTCTCCTTCAATTGTTGCAAAGATTTAGCTTCCGTTTTGAAAGCATTCACAAACGAACGTTGTTCTGCCTTTGATCGAAGCACCAGTTTGAAAATATCCTCACTTCGCTGCTTTGCGATACTGACACGCTTGCTTCTTTCTAGGTCGACTTCTTTTTTCAGTCGATCAATGACATCTTTCACACTTTCCATAGTGAACAGACCATCATTCTTGTTTCCAGTGTCGTTCACTGTTGCAGAGGATGAAGCAGACGAAATCCGACGACCTCCGTTCAGCTGTATGTAAGGCATGGAGCGCGTGGACAGGGTAGGAGATGTTCGACCTTTCATCTCTTCANTTCGACCTTTCATCTCTTCAACACGCGTGGCGGAATGTTTTCGAGGGGGTCGCCTGCGGTGATATCCGTTCATTTTAGTTTTGACGGATGCTGAAGTAACATATCTTTTAGCTTAGTTACATATAGTGACTGGTACCACGAATTTATACCTCAGCCCTGAGAAAACCACAAGACACGCGTTTATACCCTGTCCGAACAAATCGCGTTACTCCAAGCCATGTGAATCCCTTTTCTGGGACAGGTCATCTGAAATGGTAAATCATTGCGGTCAGTTTTATTTGAGCATTTACGAAATCACAATTAAACATTTCTTAATTATCCGAAGTACGCTTGAACGACAAGCGTTTCTAAACGTATAAAAGCAGTAAAATTTAAATACAGAAAAGAGTGATACAGAGCATTCAAGGAAGAAAACATTTCATTGATTGAAATTCTGTGAAATTACAAAACGTGTGAAATATGGACCTAGAAAACACTAACCAATTGATTCATTTAGCCCCGGTTCACAGAAGTGTGAATAAATATAAATACAAGTATATACTGTAAAACCAAAGGTGAACGCAGACTGACGGTATTCCTTATAAATTTTTAATCCAGACTCCTATTGGTTGTAATCGACGGCTTCGGATACTCCAGCTTGTATGGCAGTATCACTTTCGTTCCTGTCTCTTCATCCTTTGGTTTAATTT